TCCTAACCGACTTTCCTACTTGTGAAGCAACAGCAACTGGCATCTTGAGGAGTCCTAGCACATAAGACACACAAGGCTCGCATCTGCTCAGAGTCCACTGATGGCCCCTATAGCATTCAGAGTGAAATCCACAGACCCCACCGTGTCCTCATGTCTGACCCACTTACTGCTCTAACCTCCTGTTCTATGGTCCTCACCCTTACTTACTCTGCTCCAGACACACTGACCTTTGCTCCACCTGACACATAGCAGAACACACCAAGAACACAGCATTCAATCCTGCCTTGGGGCCTTTGAGCTTACTGTGACCTCTGACTGGAAGGCTGTTCCCTTAGATAACTGTGTCAGTCATTCCAGGTTTCTTTCTTTTTTCTTTTGAGTTGAAGTCTCACTCTGTTGCCCAGGCTGGAGTGCAGTGGTACATTCACAGTCACCGCAGCCCCAACCTGCTGGGCTCAAGTGATTTTTCCACCTCAGCCTTCCAAGTAGTTGGAACCACAGGCGTGCGCCACCATCCATGCCCGGCTAATTTTTTAATTTATTGTAGAGATGAGGTCTCGCCAAGTTGCCCAGGTGGGTCTCGAACCCCTGAGCTCAGGCAATCCTCTCGCCTCCACCTCCCAAAGTGCTGGGACTACAGGCGTGAGCCACTGCGCCTGGCTGTTCATTCCACGGTTCCTTCTGGTCTCTTTTCAAATGTCACTCATCAGAAAGGCTCCTCCTAACCTCCTGAAATAAAAAGCAAACCCCCCAATCACCCGCTATTCCCTTATCTTGCTTTATTTTTCACTACTTGACATACAATTATTTGTTTACTGCCAGTGTCTCTCTACTGAGATGCACGTTCATGTAGAAGGGACCTACAAACAGTGCCTGGTACATGGCAAGAGTCCTATAAACACTTGCTAAATGGACACATTAACGATCTCACGCACAGGTGTCGCATCAAAAACCCTGGCTGAAAAAAGACTGAATTCTCATCTTTTTTTCACAATAGAAAGTGAGTTTGGGTCAGGCTCGGTGGCTCAACCTGTAACCCCAGCACTTTGGGAGGCCGAGGTGAGTGGACTGCCTGAGCCCGCGGGTTCGAGATCCGCCTGGGCAACTTGGTGAGACCTCACCTCTACAATAAATCAAAAATTAGCCGGGCACGGTAGCATGCGCCTAAAGTTTCGGCTACTTGGAAGGTTGAGGCAGAAGAATCACCGGAGCCCAGCAGGTTGATGCTGGGGCGGCTGTGAGTGTGCCACTGCACTCCAGTCTGGGCGACAGAGTGAGACTCCAACTCAAAAAAATAAAAATAAAAATAAAAATGTTGACAATCTTCTCTTAATCTGTAAAAAATATATTTTTAAAAAATTATACTTGTGAAATCCAAAAGTCTACAATGGACAACTTTTTAATTAAAAAAATCTTGCCTCACTTTCCTCCTTTTTAGAAGAAAGTCCAACTCCTTAGTTTAGCATTCAAGGCCTCCCATGTCTGGCCTCAACCTACCTTTCTTTCTTTTCTTACTCTGAAGGGGGCAGTCTGGAGATCAGCCCCTGCCAGTCCTCGCTTACCTTGTCTGAGATCCTTGAGGTACCTTCAGCTTCAGTCCTAGTTCCTGAGTTTTTCCACACCGTAGCAGGGGTCATGAAAAGCCCCAGCTCCGTGAGGGGGGTGCCAAGGAAAAGCCCAGGAACTCTCCGAACCTCCTGGGCTCATCTAATTGTGCTCACAGTTTAATGTTCCACTTTCTCATGGGCACTGGAGTGCTGCCTTGAATATAGCTTGTCAAGGCCTTAAAGCACTTGCCTAGACCTCACCAATTTTCTCTTCTCAAAAGCTACAACATGACCCCTGGAGTCAGACTCTAAACCCCCTTGGCTACCTGGAACCAAGACTGGCTGTGTGCTAGCTATTCCTAGACCCATATTCCAGGAAACATTCACACCCCTCCTATTGGATCTTGGCTTCCTCCCTCCTTCTCTTCCAGGCCTGTTAGCAACCACCAGGCATCTTGGCCAAGACTTTGGAATTATCACTTGTGTTCCCTCAACAGACTGTGCTTTCTAGTTATGCACCTGTTCCTGTCTGCCCTGAATGCCTTATCTCTCATTCTGTGCCTCTCTCAACATTTCAAAGTTCAGTTCAAACATGCCTTTATGTTCACTTTCACGTCAAACTTTATTTTCATCATTCAGCAAGCATCTCGAGAGTTCTTGCCAGGCATTGACATCGATAACTTTGCATAAACACTCTCTTTTTTGTTGAGTTGGAGTCTCACTCTATTGCCCAGGCTGGAGTGCGGTGGCACGCTCACAGCTACCACAGCCTCGACCTGCTGGGCTCAGGCTTCCTCAGCCTTCCAAGTAGCTGGAACTATAGGAACGTGCCACCGTGCCCAGCTAATTTTTGATTTATTGTAGAGATGAGGTCTCGCCGTGTTTTCCGGGCTGGTCATAAACATTCTTTTAGGCACAATTGGAGCTCTCCAAGTATTTACTGAATAAGTAAACAGAGAAAATATAACTTCATTTAACATGCCCTCAATTCACTTATTCAGCAAATATTTATGAAGTACCTATTATGCGTTCTGAAAAGTTAGGGCTTGAAGGGATAGACTCTACCAATAATCCAGTCCCCCTACTGCATACAGATCAAGGACGTCTACATCTGTGCACTTGATTTGGAGAGTGGGTATTGCATGCTTTGATATCGGGCTCCTGTACACACAACTCTGTCCTTTACATATCAATATCTATGTAAGAGAACACGTCTGAATTCCTAATTTATTGCCAACACCCACCTTTCCTAAGAGCTTCTTTTATTAGTATTTTCTTTCTAATCCAACAATAACATTTTGGGAGACCTGGATGTGCCAACTAGTGTGTGCTGCGGATACAGAGATACAGAGGCAAGATCCCCATCCTGGAGGAACTCAATTCGAGTAGTGATACTTGTAAACATGGTATTGATAAGGGGGTGTATTGAGAGGTTTGCGAGGGACATTCACCGGTGACCTTCGGAATCAGAAAAAGAATCTCTTTCTGTTAGAAACAGATTCTTTTGGAGTCAGTGAACCCTCTGAAATGCAATGATCACCTTCTGCCCTAGGGAAAGCCAGAGAAAGTGAAAATGTCCATCGGCCCAAGAGAAATGGCATAATCTCTCCCTGTGGTGGGAGGGGTCAGGGCAAGGGCAGAGCAGACCAGGCAGTGGGAGGATCAAATACTGCGAGGCTCACTCCTTCCCAGGGAGGCACTCCACTGGGGGCTTTAGGAGTGTCTGCCCCCAGTAGATAACATCCTGCTGGTTGAGAACATCCCAAACCCAGAGACAGAAGTGTTCCTGCTATCCACGGGTGTTCATTTATTCCAAGTCTGCTACTTCCCATTTAGACTCCTTCTCTGGAAGCGACCCTCACACACTTGAGCCATGAGGAAAGGGTTTTTCGAGAGGCCTGGAGAAAACGGAGAAGTGATATTAAGAGAAAAATCCCAGCTGGGCGCGGTGGCTCATGTCTATAATCCCAGCGCTTTCGGAGGCCAAGGCAAGAGGATTGCCTGAGCCCATGGGCTTGAGACCAGCCTGGGTAACTTGGCGAGACCAATAAATCAAAAGTCAGCCCAGGTATAATAGTGCATGCCTGCAGTTCCAGCTACTTGGAAGGCTGCGGCAGAAAGATCGCCTGAGCCACAGTAGGTCAACGTTGGGGTGGCCGTAAGCGTGCTATTGCACTCCAGCCTGGGCAACAGAGAGATCCCAACTCAAAAAAATAAAAAGAGAAAGAGAAAATTCCCTGGAAAATCTCACTCTCCTCTTTTGACTCCATTGTTCCTCCCTCAGCATATAGTTAGTGATACACGTCAGATGAGAGACCACACCTGCAACAGTGCAAACCTCACTGTCTTCATTACATGCCACATTCTGCGTTGGGATTTGGATTTCGTTTTTACAGAAGTTCAGAAAAGAAGCCTTCCTATGAGGGGAAAAACACTTCTGGCTTGTCATAATCAGTTTTTACTCCTCTGATATTAAAAAGTGGCCATTTCACTTTTTAAAGAATTCTTCTTTTAGAGACAGGACATTCTGCTGTTCAGCAGTAGATACATGTAGGTGTAATGAGCACCTGTCAGTTTCCCAGCAGTTTGAAAACAGGTGAATGATGAATTCTCTCAGTAGACTGAGAATGTTGGCTGGGTGCAGTGGCTCATGCCTGTAATCCCAGTACTTTGGGAGGTCAAGGTAGGAGGATTGCTTGAGGTCAGAGTTCAAGACCAGCCTGGGCAACAAACTGAGAACCTCTGTGAGGTGAGGTGGTACCTGCCTGATATCACCATGGCACTCCAACCTGGGTAATAGAGCAAGACCTTGTCTAAAATTTAGACACACAGACACACACACACACACACACACACACACACACGCACACACACACACACACACACACCACAATGAGAAGGCCAATAGTAAATAGCCTAGAAGTTTGGAAATCAACGTTATTAGCAAAATTGACTTGTTTCAAGTTCCTATACTCTCCAAATGTGATGGCTCTTGAAAATCCAGGTCTTCGGCTGATATGGGAGATAAGCTATTGAGAAGAAAATAAAATATCCCACATCTCTGAAAGTGAATACCACCTTACCTGGCATTTATGTCTCTGCTGCCTAGTTAATTATATATTTAGTGACTTGTGCACAGACATGCCATTGGTGTCACTAAAGTCAAAAGGCCATGAAGTAGTATGTAAACACATCTCAAGGTATTCATTTAGCATAACATAACTCAGTTTTTCAATCCCTAAAATTTCGTTTTAAAGAAATAGCGGAGCTGGGCATGGTGGCTTGCACTTGTAATCCCAGCTACTCAGGAGGCCGAGGCAGGAACCCGGGAGTTCGAGGCTGCAGTGAGCTAGGAGCACACCACTGCGCTCCAGCTTGAGTGACAGAGGGAGACCCGGGTTCCAGAAAAAAAGAAAAGAACGAACCAACAAACAAACAAAGCGAATCAATTACCTTGAGCATGCGGATTTCCCGAAGGGCAATTTTCTTTATGACAGGGTCGTCTTCTGAGTCCAGAAACCTCTTGAGGGCCACAATCTGACCGGTGTCCCTGTTTCTGCATTTGAAAACCACTCCATAGGACCCTTCTCCAATTTTTCCGATTTTCTCATACTTCTCCATCCCAGAGCAGTACGTCTTCTTAAAACAGATCTTCGCATGGTTTGAAAAGGTCGCTTAGGAAAGCCTGGCGCCGACGGCCCGCACCGCAGCCCCGCCCCACGACGGGTCTGGGTCCAGTGCCTAGGACGCGGCCGCAGCCCACGGTGGGGAGTCGGGAACGCGCCCTCTCCCGCGACGCGCCCGCCGCGGTGGCCGCGCGATCGGGGGTCGCCGCC